CCTGCCCTCCCCTGCCTGCTCCCGCTGCCGGCTCCCCACATCCCGTGCAGGGCAGGACACTCGTGGGGGGAAGCAGCACCTTTTCTTCCAAGGTCTCTCCTGCCCCCCTGCTGTGCATCAGCTCCTCCGAGCATCCCGCTGCAGAGGGGACCCAACAAACCTGGGTTTTGTTCTATTTTTCCCTTTTCTATCCAAAATGGCTGTAGAAAGCCATGCCCTAACTCTGAATTTCCTGCCAGCAGCAGCGTGTCCCTGGCTGTGCCCAGGGGACACCAAGGTGTCTGCCCCCTGTCCTGCTGAGGGGCTGGAGCTGCTGGGAATGGGGGGAGCTACCCTGGGGGGGGCCACAGTAACCAGGGTCCCCCATCCTGCAACCCCAGTCCCGGCAGCACAGGGACCAGGTCCTACTGGCCCCAAATAAACCCCCGGAGGGAGGGAAGGGAAAGGAAGGGGGGCAGGTGGATCCCTCTGGGTTTGCCCACCTTCCTTGGGAGGGGACACCACTGGCTTCCCCTTGGGGTGAGGTCCTGCAGTGCCCGCAGCTGAATCCCTACGGCTCCTGGCGTCCCCCGCCGCGGCATCAGCTCATCCTTCTCCCACGGGCCGGTTCCTCGCACGGCCCCCCGAGTCCGGCCCTGACCTGCTGCTGAAATGCCAAGTGTGTTTTGAGAACATCCAGGTTCATCTCGCTCCTATTAAACCCCGCTGGGACGTCAGCTCACCCCTTTCCCATCCCCACTCTCCCCCTGGGGCCACAAGGCAGCGAGCGACGGGGACCCACCAGCCAAGGGACATACGTACGTACGAGCAGGACAGCGTAAGTGGGAGAACAACTTCACACCCAGCTCAAGAGGTGCCCGGCCACGGTTTTTTCCTGCACATCCCCCTCGGCAGGGAGTGGGGAAGGACCCCAGTGAAGTGCCCCAGGGAGATGGGGGCTGGTGGGTGCTGGCCCCGGTGGGGTGCTCAGCCACCGACCCCTCCTGCCCCAAACTCTCCTGCTCTTGCCCCCAGCTGAGGGTATCGCCCGGCCAAGGCACAGCCCTGGTTAATCCCAGCCCCTTTTCCCATCATGAGGGGGAAAAAAAAAAAAAAAAAAAAATCCCCCTGGAAGGCTGCTGTGGGATGGAGCTGGTGGGGAGGAGGGGGCTGGCGCCCGGTTCTCTCCTGGCTGCTCAAAAATCCAAGCGTCTTCACATGAGCTCGGCTTTGTCCTTCCTCCAAATTCACGATAACTCACGCACCCGGTGGTGGGATGCTCGGTGCGCTTGAGCACTGGGTGCTGAGGGTGGGGAGCGGGCGGCGGCGTGGGGGTGCTGAGGCTGCTGAGATGACTTCTCCCACCGGCTTTTGGCAGCACCAAAAGGGAGAGCCGGTGGGGACCAGCCCAGCCCAGCGCTGCGGCCGTCCCCGCTGGGAGGTGGCCATCGGGGAGGGTGCTGAGCCAGTCTCGTCCCTCCGCCCTAGGTGATGTCCATGTTGGCATGGCCGACCGCAACGGGCAGCTGGAGGTGGAGGTGATCCAGGCAAGGGGACTCATCCCGAAGATGGGCTCCAAGTCCATCCCTGGTAGGTGGCTGGAGAGGGTCGGGGACGGAGGGGGAGCGATGGGGACGGGCGCTATGCTGGGACCATCACAGGAGCCAGCTCTGAGTCTGCTTCTCACCCGTTTTCCAACGCAGCCACCTACGTGAAAGTTTACCTGCTGGAGAACGGTGTCTGCCTGGCCAAGAAGAAGACCAAAGTGGTGAAGAAAACCTGCGACCCATCCTACCAGCAGCCTCTGCTCTTTGAGGAGAGCCCCCAGGGCAAAGTCCTGCAGGTGATGTACACCCCACGCAGGTATTTGGGGACAGGGAGGGAATAGGGGAGCAAGGATAGGGCATGGAAACCCAGCATCCTCAGCGCTGTCCTTCAGACCGCAGCCTCCCCATCCCGATGACGGCAGGTCCTTCCCAGCCGGGCAGGCCAAGTTTGCCAAGTTATCCCCGAAACTCCCACCCAGCGAGCGGGGCAGCTCCCCTAACACCTCCTCTGCTCCACAGGTGATCGTCTGGGGAGATTACGGGCGCATGGACCACAAGTGCTTCATGGGGATGGCCCAGATTGTCTTGGAGGAGCTCGACCTCTCCAGCGTGGTTGCGGGCTGGTACAAACTCTTCCCCACCTCCTCGCTGGCCGACTCCAGCATCGGACCTCTGACGCGCCGCCTCTCCCAGTCCTCCCTGGAGAGCTCCACCAGCCCCTCCTGCCCGTAGGCGGCAGGTTGGTGGGAGAGGCCGGGAAGGGAAAGGAGACGTCCTGACCTACCAAAACTGTTAGTGGATAGCTGTAAATATCCTGTCTTTCCCCATTCCCC